TGAAGATGGCACAACGCCGAAACCGGTTTGTCTGCAAACCAAACTTGACAAGGGATGACGGAAATTCGTTCCAAAATAAATTATCTTACCACCCTGTCGGAAAAATCAACCAACACCAATATTTAATCTCCTTACCGGGGGATTGCTGGAAGAAAATGGTTGTCCAACTTTTGGCGGTATAACATTATCCGTAGAACGCAAAACAGGCACGTAAAAACGCTCTTCTAATAGAGCTTCAATCTTTTTTGCCAATTCGGGTGGAGGATTTGAAACTCGGGAGCAAATTATCTACAAGAAAATCATTTAATGTGTAACTTTTACATCTACAAGAGTAACTATCTGTACATACATCTTTCGGATATAGTCCCTCTGAGTTACGCGTCATTTTACATTCCGGGAATGATGTCAAAACCTCTACCATCTCAGCAGCGCCATTCTTTGTAGCAAAATGTAATGGTGTTTCGCTACGTCCCTTCTCTGGTATATTTAGATAATAGTCCAATAAATTCACACACAATTCCTTGCACATTTTCTCGTCGTTTTTCTTTCCCGTAAGCAAATCAACAAATTTTGTATCGCTTACTGTCTTCAAAATTAGTTCAGCTATGCGCGGCTTCTTAGAAATAGCACATATGTGCATGGCATTATAGCGATATCCCTCTTTAAGTGTGGTGGGTGTGTCGCCAGCGCTCACCAAATATCGTGGATTATCCCAAATCATATTTTTAACGCGTTCACAATCGCCTGATTCGATTACTTTTCGAAATTCAATCAATTCCTGTTTGGTGGGGCCACGAAATGCAGCTTTTTCTACCACAATAGAAGCTGCAAGCAAAGAAGTGGAATTATTTATATTGAAAACAGATATGTACACATGTATGGTAGATTTTAAAGACGAAATACATACATTTGGCGTCGCCATGGCGCGGTGGCGCTACCACTTCGTAGCCAGTTTGTGCAAATTTAAGGGCATCACTTTCAATACTAAATTCACGTAGACGCGCCTCTTTGTGCAGTTTCAGCACATCCAGCGCTTCACTTTTGCTACTAAATACATATGGGGTGTCGACTGTAAAGATAGAAAGGTTAATTAATAATGGTCAATAACATGCATGTACATAAATATACAAAACCTCGTAACTGACATTTGTGCCAAAAAAGACATTTGCTCAGCGGAAGCTCTTGCAATCAAGTCTTTATCCATTTATACTAAAATATCGATTCTTAGACATAAGAAGAAGAGATAAATACGGATAAAATAGAGAGCCGTTTTGAAATAGGACTAGCTTTACTCTCACCTACAAAATCTTGGCGAGGTTTTGCATTTTCTGTATACGCGGTTTTGTACTTTAAAAGACGATATGTACATATGAATGCAAATTTGTAGGTCATGGCACGTAATGTACAACTGCATTTCACTCATTTTCAATAAGCAATATTGAGAAATAATTATGTCATACAAACGAAAAGTATATTTTTTTTCGCGAGTATGCAACACAAAAATCGCGTGTTTTCTTACGACACTTCCGAATGTTGGCAATTTTTCAAAAATTTCGAATTGCCGCATACGTAAGCGCGTCCAATCTAATGGGAAAATTGTGCCGACCGCTTTCATTCAACAATTTTGAAAATCGTATACACACATAGTGTAAGTGAGCGAAAAGCAGGTGCGAGATTAGAATGTTTCCTATACATGTATAGTATGGAAATATGTATAGTTGAGCCATAAGCAAAGAAAAAAGAGCCAAAACAAAAACATTAAACTTATGACGGATAGCATAAACAAATACGCGTCAACGACTTGTTAATTATAGGCGTTAGGGGCATTTGGGGTTTGATATTTTTATGTCTGGTTTTACGTTCAATCAAACTGAGTAAACATAACAGCTTTCCATATATTTCATTGGATGATATTTCAAAAAACTTGGTTTTAGCGGGCAGGCTAGCATCCGCAGTGAAGGCCAAACCTGTTCATGTAGTTATTTTGTGCTCCAATTTACAAAGATGCTATTTACTTATATGTATATTTTCATTACTACGAATTCTATATTTTCCCATAATACACTATTCCGCTTCTCGCAAAACTGAAGACAAAAATATGTAGATGTGGAGATATTGTAGTAATTGTATACGGCGGCGCGCCTCTTCGTCATTAATTAGCATATCATCACGTCATCTCCATGTTACGCTTATTGAACACACTCAGTTCTCTAATCGGCTGGGCTTAGAAAAAGCAACCGAAATAAGTTGTATGTAAACAAATAGTATTTTTCCTGTAGTTTATTATGTATGTATGGTACTGAATATTTATTGTTATAAGGATACCATCTTTGATATTTTAGGGTGCGCTTTCCGACAATTGGTGTCATGTCTAAGGCGTTTCCATACGAACTGAGATACGAACACTTATTATACACCAACAGCAATTGCTTAAATGTTTGATAGAACATACATATTTTAAATTAAAAATTAGAAAACTACGATTATAAAAATAAAAAAATAATGCCATTATTTTATGCATCGAACAAAAGTATATGTATTTTTAATGTGCATTTTATTTTATGTCTCTGGTGAAAGCTTTCTTGCTTACTGACATACATAAATATTGCTTTATTCTCAATCGCGG